ATGCGTCCTTGTCTCTGGGAGGCCAGGTTTGCATCGGCTTCTGACACACAAGGGGGTTACCTCGTCCTTTTTGACTTTATAATTCAACCCTGCCACTTCAAAGCTACAAGCTCGTTCTTACCAGTGGCCCTGCAGGCTTCACGATCAAGAGGGTGGCAGAAAACTCGCTGGAGGTGAAGTCGGTGACTATTCGTATTCCAGCTAAGCCGTAACAACCCGAAAAAGTACATTTTTTGAAAAATGTTGATTTTTGCTTTTGGTATAACAATTTTAATCTTGAGTATGTATTGAGTAAAAGGGTAGGTATTGCGTAATTGCATAAATAACATTAATTAACATATTAAATATAACCTGTTGGTCATAACATGCATTGCAGTATACTTGATTCATCATATACTGTTGGTCATATACTTGAATATCTCCGGGCAGGCTTGCTTGGAGGAGGCCATTGTCTACATGAGAGGCTCCAAGAATTTGATGGTGCCAGCCCGATGGAAGAACACCTTCCCATATTGTATATAGATATAAATAGAATGCGAGCGTGATTAACGTGATATAGGAGAAAATGGGTTGAGCATGTATTTGGACTGGTGAGCATGTATTAGGTAACACGTGACCCGGAGAAATAGAAATTAAGACCCGGAGAAAATACTGACCCGGACTAGACCCGGAAAAACCCGGACTCTGAGCGGAGAAACCCGGATTCTGAGCGGAGATCATGAGCATGTAATGGTGTTACATGAGCATGTATTGTGTATTCCAGTGATTGTTGCATGTAGCCATTGGGGATCACATGGTGCCACTACTGAGCCGTGTTTGGAGTTGTTCAGACCTTGTTGAGGGCGCAGTCATGCTTACTGATGATGCTGTGCTGGCAATGAAGAAGAGTCTCCTGTCAGAGACTCATGGGAAGTCGCATATACTGTACTATTCATCAGAGACTCCTGTCTGTACTTGATTCATCATATACTGTACTATTCATCATTAATCATAACCCGGAGATATTCAAGTTGAGTATGTATTTAGTAAAAGTGTAACTTTTCAAAAAATAAATTGAAATTATTATCATTGAGTATGTATTTCTCAAAAATCTACATTTTGAAAGACGGTGTAACAATTCTAGCACTTTTGGTTTAGCTGGTTGATATGGACAAAATCAACGAGGCGGGCCAGACATGGGATCTGTTCAATAGTTGGAATTGCTGCCGCCGCACTTTTTTACAAGGTCCAGCACTACGGTTGAACGGTGCGCAAAATTACTGAAAAGAAACTGGACCA